AGGAGTCTATGTGTTAACACTGCGAGAAGCCTTTTTCACTCCTTTTCTGTTGCTTCAAATACACACAGACTGATACTGCAAATGTAAATCCTATTTTTCCTTTAAGCCACATGTTTTTTGACACACACACCCCCCCCCCCCCCTTTGGCATTTTACTTCCATAACGCCACCACTTCTCCCGCTGGACACTGGACTCAATGGGGAGCCCATTACTACACCACTTCCTGAAGTTTCATACGAACTTCATTAAGTCAATTACAGGGTGAACACATCACCGTTTCTCTGCAATTAGTCTCAAAACGCTTCACTTTCCCTAATAGAAGAGAGCAGATGCAACTACAGAGAGAGAACAGTGTTGACGTGGAATCTAATTCACTTCGGGTATTAAATCTTGTGGCCAAGTTCAGGGGAACTGGTGACCATGAGAGAAGGAAGGGCTTTCTAACACCTGAAAAGAGTTGGACGGCAGCTTGGTGCCAAAAAGTCATTAGGAAAAGGCCAGATGAGATGGTCAGCTTTATGTTGTTGTGAAGTTATTTGGTGTGACCATTTGCCCACTTCCGTCACCAGGATGGAGAGCAACCATTTGGAGGAACTCCAGCTCTTTTGGTGGAACTCCAGGTTTTCCATGTCACCGACTCAATCCCTGGCATTGCCTGTTAGAAAGAGAAGAAGGTGATGGGAAGGACCACTTCCTTTGGCCAATTATGATCATTGGTGTTGTTTTGTTCTCTGACATCAAGTTGACTTTGACTTATGGTGACCCCATGAATGAGAGACCTCCAAGTCACTCTATGCTCAACAGCTCCACTCAGGTAGTACAACCCGGATTAATGCCTGTGGGAAGATGGATCTGGCCACGGTGGTCCACGCTCTTGTTACATCCTGGATAGATTACTGCAACACACTCTACGTGGGGTTGCCTTTGAAGACTATTTGGAAACTTCAATTAGTCCAGCGGGTGGCAGCCAGACTGCTCACCGGAGCGTCATACAGGGAGCAAACCACCCCCCCCCCCTGTTATGTCAGCTCCACTGCAGGCATGTAGCCGGGGGGAGGGGGCTTGGGGGGGCTTCAGCCCCCCCCCCCAAATTCTCATGGTGGTTCGCGAAAAGGCCTTACTGGTGCATTATTTAAACTGTTATGTTTATTCATATCATGATCTGATCACCATACTCAATATATCCCATATGCATGGAGGTATTGGGGTAATGATACAAAAGGTTTGCTAGGCTAGTTTTCCATCTGCTGACCTGGAAGTGGGGCTCAGAGGAGCCGAGAAGAGCTCCTGCTGCCTTTGCAAAACCCCCCCCCGGAAAAAAATTCGCTCACCCCCCCCCCCCCCGAAACGAAATCCTGGCTATGGGCCTGCTCCACTGGCTGCCGATCCAGTTCCAAGCACAATTCAAAGTGCTGGTTTTGACCTACAAAACCCTATACGGTTCCGGCCCAGCATATCTGTCCGAACGCATCTCTCTCTACGTCCCACCTCGGAGTTTGAGATCCTCTGGGGAGGCCCTGCTCTCGGCCCCGCCTCTGTCACAAGTGAGATCGGCGGGGACAAGGAGCAGGGCCTTCTCAGTGGTGGCCCCTCACCTATGGAATTCACTCCCCAGGGAAATTAGATCAGCGACATCCCTCCTTTCTTTAGAAGGAAATTAAAAACATGGATGTGGGACCAGGCGTTTGGGCAATCTGGCAGATGAATAAAGGACTGCGACGACGGATAGGAATAGACAATGTGGAACGAAGTATGGACTCTGAGTTGGCGAACGCTGTGCTTGAGATTGGCTATTGACTGTGATATATATTGTTGTTTTAATTGTTTAACCGTTTAACTGCTGTTTTTATACGTTTATTGTATTATTGTGTAGGCATCGAATTGTGCCATTTTGTAAGCCGCCCTGAGTCCCCCCTCGGGGGTTGAGAAGGGCGGGTAGAAGTATACGAAATAAATAAATAAATAAATAAATAAATAAAACTGTGAAGCCCTGGCTGTGCTGGTACGGCTGTACCAGGAGCTCCAACTTTATTTGCTTTGTATTAAATGTTTGTTTGCAGTCCTAGGTTTCAGGGACTCTGCAGATAGGTGGCTTCCTTTGGTTGCAGTCATAGGGCAAGTCTCCTGTCCATCATCGTTAAGTTTTGGTTCCGCCCCTTGCTCAGGGCAATTGGGAAGGGAAGGGAGCCATTTTTTAGTTAGTCTCAGCAAGGAAAGCTAATGTACAGGACGTGTTCAAGCTTCCCCTGTACAAAAGCTTCAACCCTTAAGACTTTCCGGGGGAAAACAGTCTTAAGAGCATCCAAGACTTTCTGGGGGAAAACAGTCTTAAGAGTCTCCAATGATTTCCAGGAAAACAGCCCTAAAGACCAAAGAACTCCAGCTGCAGAATCTACTAGCCTTACTGGTAGGTCCACTCGGCGTTCGAGAAGCAGTTCGACCCAGTAGCGGAGCCCACATCAGTAAGGGTTAGATTACAGTCAGCCTGGGAGAAGTTAAAAAGGGGACTTTCCTTTAAAGCAAATAAGAAGTTATTGAAAACAGTTGCCTGTCCTTCGTGGGCAAGTTTAGGAAGCTACCAGTTGCATAAAAGCCTGGATTCATTTGTTTAACTTTCTGAAGACAAGAGAAGTTTCTGTTTGATTGTTCATTAATAAAGGACTTTGTTATACTTCACAAGCCAGCTAAAGATCATTTGTGGTGGAAAATGTTGGAGTTCAGCCTGCATGTGAACCTGAACCTGATTCTCAGATTGTATTTCCTGATGCAACTGAACAGGCTACTGAACATGTATTTTTCCCTGATGGTTTGGAAGATGTTGATTCTGAGGTCAGTGGCTTGGAAAATGAAACTACACAGCCTGATGAGAATGTTTCAGAACCAAGCAGGGATAGCTCTCCAGAGGAGCTAGCACCTGGCTCCCTTAATGAGGATAGAAAAGAGCAGATTTGGAAAAACAGGAGTGAATCGCAGAGTCTGCGAAGGTCAAGCAGATTAAGGGAAAAGGAAGCACAGGCTTCAAAGCCTGGAGGCATGTCCCGAAACAGTTTCTTTAGTTTTAAGTGCCTCTCCCCAGGCTGTCTCGTTAGATCAGGCATCGTTTAGACTGAGGCATTACCTTGGCAGAGTTCCCGTTTCTCGTGGCCTACACCCCAAGAGGCTTCTAGTACTCCAAGTACGGTTAGTGGTTTGCTAACAGGTTCCAGGTTTTTACAGTGTGGCTTTTGGAATTTTGATCTATTTCATGGATATTCTTGACTGCTGAATTTTACTGTGGCTTTTGGACTTTGCATTTTCTTCTATTTTGTAACCATTTTTCATCAATAAAAAAGGATTGTTTTTCCTACAGTCAAGTGTGGTGGATTGATATCTAATGGTCTCGTTTCCTGCTTCTGGGTTGCAACAGTAAACTTCTGAGAACTTCTCCTTGGCCCCCCTGGCTTTCCGCTGGGCAAAGGTTGCACGTCCTGTCCTAAAGGAAATTCTTTACAGGCCCAGTGTGCAACAGAACAACGTTCTATCATGTCAAGTGTCAGGATCCAGACTCTGCCAGTATGCAGGCAGAAGTAAACCAAAAACCACACTCAGCTTGTCTCGATAACTATTTTACTTAAAGCAAAACTTACTCATTTGACTGTTTTCAAGGTCCAAGTTCAAAACATAAAGATAGCACACACCCAGAGATACAAAGCAAAGACTGCTAACAAGGAGCATACTACAAACACTGGTTCATGAGAAAAAGTACACCATAGCCAATGTTACAATCCAGGAGTCAAATGCTGGAGAGTTTGCGAATTAATGTCCAAGGGACCAAAGTGTAGTCATAGATCCAAAGGTCAAGGTGGAGAGTCCAGAGTTCAAGGGTGATCCAAATTCATAGTCAATAGTGAGTTCAGGAATTCAAGATACAGCAAGGTTCACAACAGTAAACAAGAGCAACAGGGTTCACCAACAAGATGCTCACCAAGGTTCCAAGAGTTCACAAGACAGGTCAGGATACCACTGTGCAGGAACAGCTGTACCAGGAGCTCCAATTTTGTTTGCTTTGCATTTAATGTTTGTTATAGTCCTAGGTTTCAGGGACTCTGCAGATAGGTGGCTTCTTTTGGCTGCAATCATAGGGCAAGCCACCTGTCAATTATAGTTAGGTTCCCTGGTCCCCCCCTTTTGGGTTTTGGAGGGAATAGGAGCCAGTTTGGGTTCAGTCCACACAGAGAAGCTTTTCATGCAGGACATAATACCAAGAGCTCCTGTAGAAAGCTTTGTCTTCTATGGCTTGGCCGGGGAGATATACAGCCCACAGCTTGGCCGGGGTTATACAGCCCTACAACTCCTTCGCTGAAGGACTTCAGTCAGCCATCACGGAAACCTGAATTCTTTTTCCCCTGGAAGTCTACAAAGCTCTGCTTGGTAAGGGTCACTCGCGGAAGCCAGAAGCAGTTGGTACCGGGTGCAGGGGCTCCACGCCAACAGAGGCAAAGACAGACTGCCCAGATTAGAAGTTAAGGATTTCCCCATTAGTTACAGTTATGAAGATAGTGCCTGTTCCCTGTGGACAAGATTGAGAGAGAGCCAATAGACTGTTAAGAAAGCCTTAAAGTACCTGTTTGTTTTCATTAATAAAGAACTTTGTTGAACCTTTAAGCAATCTAAAGACTCTGTTTTAAGGAAATCCAAGGGCCTTTAATCTGAGGCAGCCCCGGCGTCCCGTTGGGCACATGGAATTTATGTCCTGTCTACAGTCTTATGCACAGGCCCAGCGTGCGACAGCACAACCACAATCCACACAACTTGAGGGGAAAACCACCAACATCTATGACCAAGTATGGCAGATGCTTTTCTCCCAAAGAGCAGTCTCTGCTAGGTTCTTTTTTATGCAGCTGATCACAGCTGCATCCAGTCTCTGCAGGCCTCCGTCCTTATCACTGCCACCTATATATTCTTACATACAGATTACTCTGTCCTTTAGAACTAGGAGGAAGATTAATCTCGTCCATACCTTCTGCCTCCAGCAAAGGATCGCTGCTTTGTCGTGGTGCTGGAGCTTGAGCACCTCAATGATGTCACGAGCGAAACTGTGCAGGGCCACCCAAGACAGGGTGCCAATATCCGGATGCTGGATAATGGAGAAAGATAGGGAAATTCAGAAAAACATCTATTTCTGTTTTATTGACTATTCTAAAGCCTTTGACTGGTGGATCATAATAAATTGTGGCAAGTTCTTGGAGGTATGGGCATACCAAATCACCTTGTCTCTCTCCTGAGGAATCTGTATAAGGACCAAGTAGCAACAATAAGAATTAACCATGGAACAACAGACTGGTTCAAGATTGGGAAAGGCATACGGCAGGGTTGTAGACTCTCCCCCAACCTATTCAACTTGTATGCAGAACACATCATGCGATGTGCAGGGCTTGAGGAATGCAAGGCTGGGTTGAAAATTGCTGGAAGAAACATTAACAACCTCAGATATGCAGATAATACCACTTTGATGGCCGAAAGCGAGGAGGAGCTGAGGAGCCTTCTAATCAATGTGAAAGAAGAAAGCGCAAAAGCTGGGTTGTAGTTAAACATCAAAAAAACCAAGATTATGGCAACAAGAATGATTGACAACTGGGAAATAGAGGGAGAAAACGTGGAGGAAGTGACAGACTTTGTATTTCTAGGTGCAAAAATTACTGCAGACGCAGACTGCGGCCAGGAAATCAGGAGACGTTTCTTTCTTGGGAGGAGATCAATGTCCAATCTCGATAAAATAGTGAAGAGTAGAGACATCACACTGGCAACAAAGATCCGCGTAATCAAAACAATGGTATTCCCCATAGTCACCCATGGCTGTGAGAGCTGGACCATAGGGAAGGCTGAGCGAAGGAAGAGAGAGGGTTTTGAACTGTGGTGTTGGAGGAAAGTTCTGAGAGTGCCTTGGACAGCGAGAAGATCCAACCAGTCCATACTTCAGGAAATAAAGCCCGACTGCTCATTAGAGGGAAGAATAGTAGAGGCCAAGATGAAGTACTTTGGCCACATCATGAGAAGAAAGGAAAGCTTAGAGAAGTCAATGATGCTGGGGAAAATGGAAGGAAAAAGGAAGAGGGGCCGACCAAGAGCAAAATAGATGGATAGGATCCTTGAAGTGACTGGATTGACCTTGAAGGAGCTGGGGGTGGTGACGGCCGACAGGGAGCTCTGGCATGGGCTGGTCCATGAGGTCATGAAGAGTCGGAAATGACTGAATGAATGAACAACAACAAATACCTTCTGCAGCATCACCACCCTACTGGCCATGATCCTGCCAAGCCTTCTGTGTACTAACCACCACCATTCACTATCAACCACCATTCCACTACCAACCACCATCAACTGCTGGACTTGATAAGCCAAGCTTGAAATGATAATGGGACATAGAGAAAGGTCTTTTTTGATTATCTCAGAATCTTGAGTATCTCAGGGAGACACAGTCTTCTATACAGCATGTACCTGGGCCATATGGGGCTTTGTAGGTTATAGCCAGAATTTTTAATGGAGTCACAACTATCCAAAACAGAGTTTGCAAAACATTTTAAGGGCCATTTGTGTCCTGGATTGGCATATTGTTGGTCCTTTGAGCAAAAGCTGATCTATCAGGGTTTCTCTGTCAAGAACCAAAGTGCCTGTTAATACTATTAAGGCCATGGTTTCAGGTTTCCAGTGAAACATGGTGAGAATTAGAGGGCACAGACGATGCCCTTGGAAAGCATATGTCAGGGACCCCGGGCTCCGGTTTCATGGTCAAGGCTATCCTGAGAGACAGCAACCCAAACTCCTGAAAAACAATGTCACAGCCTCTTCGGTGACCAAAATGCAACTGGCAGCGGTTTAGTGTGGTCAAGGAAAGAGCAAAAGTATGTAAAACCCAATACTTGTTTCTGGTTAGGGAACTGTAGGAATGTCTCTTGTTAAACAAGCAAAAAAGCCACACAATCCAGGGTTTGCTATGGGAGATAAAACATTAACCTCTCATCTAAAATAGACCCAAAGTAAAAACCCCAAGCCCCAAATGTCCAGCCCCTCAGAGAGAGAAACGCTAAAAAGCTGTTTTACTCTAGAAGAGAGGCACTCAGCTGTAGGAAGATGTACATTTTAAGGAGTGTTTCTTACTCTAAAGGAGGCGCTTGGCTGCAGGCAGAGCGTGTGCTTTCTGGGCCTGCACGCCAAATGCACTTTCCAAGGCAAGGCGGCAAGTTCTCTTCCTCTAGAGGAGGCGTTCGGCTGCAGGCAGAGCGTGTGCTTTCTGGGCCTACACGCCACATGCACTTTCCAAGGCAAGGAGGCAAGTTCTCTTACTCTAGATGACGCGCTCAGCTGCAAGCAGTGTGTGCTTTCTGGGCCTGCACACCACATGCACTTTCCAAGGCAAGGAGGCAAGTTCTTTTACTCCAAAGGAGGCGCTTGACTGCAGGCAGGTGTGCACATTTTCCGGGCCTGCACACCACACATGCACTCTCTTTCCAAGGCAAGCAGGCAAGTTCTCATTCTTACTCTAGAGGAGGTGCTCAGCTGCAGGCAAGCGCATGCACTTTCTGAGCCTACACGTCACACTCACTCTCTTTCCAAGGCAAGGAGGCATGGAGCACCACATGCTCACGAAAAACAGGTGAGGAGCTGGGATCAGCTCTCGCTTGATTTCATGTTGAGCTGATTTTCATACCACGAGGGGCCTTCCCGTTACGTGCTCCTGAAGGTAACGAAAGTAACAAATGAATGGATGTACCTAAGGAAAATGGTTCCGTGCACAACTCTACTAAAAACCATTCACACTGATAACTCCTCTGTTTGTCATGTTTGCATTTACTTGGGAATATTGCTTGCTCCCTTTCCTTGGAGACCCAAATTGCATTTCTCAATGTGAAAACTATATTTCAAATGGTTCTCATAGTCGAGGCATTCTTCCAAATGTTTAGGTGGGATTTCTTTGCTAGAAATTTGAATCCACTGGTTTGTGTTCCAACATCTGAAGAAGAAGTGTTGAGATATATCACTGAATGCTGAAGCGACTTAGGACTGTCCAAGTCATCCCTTTCCCCCAATTCTGTGTATGGTCATGAAAGCTGGACTAGAAGCAGCCTCTCCTGTAGTTCGCTGATTACAGACTAACTGTTTTAAAAATGGCTGCCCTGCCAGGTAGCAGTTGGCTCCGCCCCTGTTTCCATGGCAACCCAGCTCAACATGAGCTGAGCTGGCCACCATCCCCCTTAGTTATGCAAATTTAAATACTTACCCTTTAAAACATCTATCTATAATTATACATAACTGCAAGTTAAAAATTTACACTTCACCACACATATGTTCTGTATCAGAAACTAGAGCTGATGTGTTCTATCCAATGTAATTTTCTGAATTAGCACCCCAAATAGCCAAACCAACTCTAAAGTTGACCAAAAACTGATTATTAACCCTTTTGGTGCTAATGTTGAAGAGTGGTCCCTCGTTGAGTAGTCCCTGGTCAAAAAAAGGTTGGGAACCACAACTTTGGATTGACAACAAACTTTATTTCTAATCTCTTGCTCCATTTTTATTATTATTATTATTATTAAACTTTATTTATACCCCGCTAGCATCTCTGCAAGGGACTCGGTGCGGCTTACATGAGGGCGAGCCCACAATACATCAATACAAGCAATAACAACAACAGTAAAACAGATTGAATAAACCTCATAACAAAAAAGCAATATACAATGACAATAACACAACACACAATTGGAGCCCCCGGTGGCATGGTGGGTTAAACCCCTGTGCCAGCAGGACTGAAGACCGACAGGTCGCAGGTTCAAATCCGGGGAGAGGCGGATGAGCCCCCTCTATCAGCTCCAGCTCCTCATGCAGGGACATGAGAGAAGCCTCCCATAAGGATGATAAAACATCAAATCATCCAGGCGTCCCCTGGACATCGTCCTTGCAGACGGCCAATTCTCTCACACCAGAAGCGACTTTCTCAAGTCTCTCCTGACACGACAAAAAAAACACAATTAAAATCTATGGCTGGGCCAAATGTAATTAAAGTTAAAAATTATGCTAGGCACAAATAAGGTAGGAGAGATGGGGCGTTAGTGGGAGCGTACAACAATCTTAAATCAATGTAAAGTGCATTTGGAGGGCACAATGCTGAGAATTCATTATTCTGGGAAGGCAGACTGGAACAACCACGTTTTCAGGCTCCTCCTAAAGACTGCCAGAGTTGGGGCATGCCTGATGTCCTTGGGGAGTGAGTTTCAGAGTCGAGGGGCCACCACCGAAAGGCCCTCTCCCTTGTCCCCACCTGCGATGGAGGTGGGAGTGCAAGGAGGGCCTCTCCAGATGAACGAAGAGATTGTGTGGATTCATACACAGAAATGTGGTCACGCAGGTAGGCACGTCCCAAACCGTTCAGGGTTTTGTAGGTAAGAACCTTGAATTAGGACCGGAAAATGAACGGCAGCCAGTGGAGCTCCTTAAACAGGAGGGTTGACCGCTCCCTGGAAGGAGCACCAGTTAATAATCTGGCCACTACCTGTTGGACCAACTGAAATTTCCGAGCCATTTTCAAGGGCTGCCCCACGTAGAGTGCATTACAGTAGTCCAATCTGAAGGTGACTGAGGCATGGACCACCTTGGCCAGATCCACCTTCCCGAGGTACGGTCGCAGTTGGCGCACGAGTCTTAATTGTGCAAAGGCCCTCCCGGCCACCACCAACGCCTGAGCCTCAAACGTAAGTGGTGAGTTGAGGAGGACGCCCAAACTGCAGACCTGTGACTTCAGGAGGAGTGCAACCCCATCCAGCACAGGTTGCCACCCTATACCCCGGTCCGGTTTACGATCAACCAGGAGGACCTCTGTCTTGTCGGGATTTTCCCTTTGGGTCTGGCACACGGGCACGTCATTCCCCCCCTTGGATCAAGTAACGGCACCAAAGGGCCTTGTTTCATGTCTCGGCTCCACAGAAGGAAAAACAAACTTGGTTTGGCTTCAGCCTTTCATTTTGACTGCATGGCCCCTTTCCGTTGGTCACGTTGACAATCTTCTCACTTTAACTTTTCTCTGGTGGGTGTTTCTCGCTTGACAACCAACCGACTCCCTGCCTCCGTTTAAGAAGAGAGACT